TTATTGGTTACCGGAACGTTCCTGAAAAAAAATTATCTGGTCCAAACAAGCACATTTAATTACTATAATTACTATCGCGTCATTAGACGCCGCATCCTGGTTCTAGACGGGATTTTTTAAAGGGACAAAGCCACCGATGCACTGCACAGCAAATACAAGTTGCTACACTAGTTTCTGTTGAGGTAGAAAACTTGTGAGATCAATTGCGCCCATGCTCTAGCCACTGTAAACTCCTTCAGCAATGTCAGCGTGTAGGAATTGTGCTGTATGATAAAATTGAGCTTAGTCGTTGGAATAAAACTCCCTTATGAATGTGTGGCCGCTCGTGATCTTTCTTGTATGAAACTCACTTGGGAGACGCGTCTTTTTCAACGCTTTTGAAAGAAAATTGTTGGTTCTTGCATTGATTACACATCTTTAGTGCTGCTTGATCGAGGTGTCCTGCACAGATTATCCAATACTTGACCGTTGATATATGCTAAACCTCAATTCACATCTTGAGTCTGGATAACGTGTTTGAAAAACTGCGCTGACAATAGACTGTGACGGAACTAAAATTTCAGTTAGGTTGTTCCAGTGGTTAAAGTTCCGAGTACCTACCAAGATTGGAGCAGAGAGGTGCTGGTTCGATCCCAGTTCTGTGCGCCAGTTTCTGGTCAGAATCGGCAAGGAAGCCGGGCGGTTAGGCAAAGCAAAATTGTAGCAGTGAGTTGCGAGTTAGACCGCAAAATGCTGTGAATGTTCTGCGATGTTCAGAATCGGCGACAGGCCTACGGCCTAATAAACGCTGAAAACGCTATTGTATTGTATATTGTATTAAGTGACTCAGCGTATTGAACATTACCTGGGAAGTTTGGTGGTAGATGCTTTTCATGGTATAGGTTGAATGAGTTAAGAAAGTTGTCACTGATAGAATGCACGCCATTCATTCGAGAAGTGACGTTTCATTTTTGCATTTCATTGAATTGTACATTTTAAATTCAGATGTAAATTATTTGCCCCTCTCTTTTGCCGTTTAGAAAGTTGATACAGTACTCTTTGCAAGGAACCCCATTACCCCAATTTGAAAGGTTTGAAATTGTGGGATGTCTCCTGTCGAGAGTTGTGAGCTTGAAAAGTTTACGGAAGGCCCAACTCCCAGGAGTTCAGTCTCTTCTCCATGCCCTTCAGTAGTTCTTCATAAGTCTTCCTCTGCCTCTCAAACCTCCTCCCCTCCTCGCTCTTCCTCCCCTACTGCCTCGTTGGTGCCCACCAGTCCAACTAGCTCTTGCAAATCCTCCCACGAAAATTCCCCGCTACCTCAGGATGTTGAAGATAGGTGAGTGTCTTGAAGCTTCGTGTATATCTGTTAACTTGGTTCTTTTTTTATTAGGATTGCATTTTCGATCATTAATTACTGGAATTATTTTCCTAGGAATAAAGCAGAGCTCTCGATTTCGAAAGTTTGGTTAAAGGGATAAGAGCATAGCTTGCAAATCTTTGATATTTTGACGAACAGCCACCTAACTGCATAAATATGCGTGCAATATTCGGCATAAATTATTTGAATTGTCCACCTATTTCATCTATGGGCAATAATTACGCTTCCGTTTCCTGTGACGAATCCCTAGCGCCAACTGAACGACTAACAACGCCCCCAATCATTATTAGCACCCGTGAGTTTATTACACTGACTTTAGTTCCATTCGCAGCAGCCAAGTATATAACCAAAACCTTGGATTAACTTGAGATCTTTTTTTTTAAAGTCGAGGATCGCTAACTAATAATTGTTCGTTAATAACAAAGCGATTATTTGCACGAGATTGAATGCTCAATATTATGGCACTTTTTTTACTGAATTTTGTCAATTTCTTGATAAATCCCTTGTTTACATTTGTTCGTTTTAATCAACACTCAACAAGCTCCGCTTTTTCGCTTCATATTTTGCACTTGAAGTGTAAAGTTCTCAATCGTACTGAAAATTGTTTGCTCTGTCAAGTAAGGATGGAACTCGGCGCTGTCAGTTAGTTTCATCTTCTAAAATTTAAATCAAGCGACTTGCTTGGGTTTTCCAGCCCATCGTTGCCTTGGATCAAAGCATTCGATAAAACCTGTTGCTGGTATTATCCAGTGCTGTCCGGTGAACGGGAACGTTAGTCTGGAATCTGGTAATGTTATTAACCTTTAGTTTCCGCCTCTTTCCGTCTCAATGTTTGAACCGGATGATTTGTCCGGCCCAGACTCACCATGCTAGTTTTTTTACGACTTAGTCGGATGATGACGTTGATGATTATGTAACCCTCCTCCAATGATGCCGTTCCGTGAAATGTACACTCTTATAGTGAGAGATCTAAAAGTTTCCAGGCATCGGAAAATTTGTTAGTTTTTGTTTCCTTTAACTTGTAAATTATCAAGTCATGTCAAGGTAGTCCTGGTTACTAGTACTAGATTGTCGGAAGTTATTTCTCGTTTGACCGCGTATTTAATCCTGCTATTCTTCGGTTCTGATTTTCATTATAAAGGTGATTGCTATTTCTTGAAACAACTATTTTATTAAACTATCAGAACTTTTTCCCATGCAATGTTATTAACATTTACGCTTACCTTTTCGCTTTTTTTTGCTGTGCGTGCCGGCCAAGTCGTCTCTCGACATCACTGGTGTAACGAAACCGGTTCATTGAGTACTGACATTGTTGAAATTACGAACTTCAGCGTCAAACATACTGCGCCATGCGTGAAATCGGAAATGTTGGTTGCCAGTCGCATTATTACGTAATGGCTTACTAAGAGCAGTACTGTGGACGTTTGTGGAGACCTTGAATTAGTCCGAGTTTATTAGTATATTGTAAGAGTATCAAAATATCCGAATAATATACGTTGCGTGCAATTGCCAGAATCGTCTTAGAAAATATCAATTACTTTTTAGGTGTGATGGCGGACTGAAGGTTAAATTGCTCTCATTGCGATTACTACAGTGGCCAGGAGGACTGTGGATTTGGGTGTTGTTAATGCTTCACTATCGAACTGAACCGTAATTGGCATTATGTAACGAGACGAGTTTTACAGTAATAATTAAAATAATGAAGTATCTTTTTATTAATTGTTGCTCATATTTTATTACGGAATAGAACACGTTTGCCGGTCGGCTGCAGCACAACCTCAATTACGAACTGTTATATTTCTGGCAGCCGGAGGCCATGTACCCTGAACTAAAGGAAGTCCCAGTGAAGAACCGCTGTGGTCGCCATGACTTTCAACCACTACCGAAGGTCTCCGAGGTGTGCGAGGTCATGCCGCGATCGTCGTCCCTCGATTATTATAAGAAAGGAAGTTCATCTGGACTCATATTCTTTCTTAGCATCTATTATTGGCATATGTGGTCTGTTCCTATTGTAGGACGACCTCGATACACAGCAAGGCTATTGTACTGCTTGATGCAGCTGTCTTCTGCATGAATAAATAAACGTAGAATATCTAAAGTGTGACTTAACGAATTAGATTTTTAATATTGTTCTTCTAATGCTATGCATCAATAAATTGAATGATCAAAATAGTGATTTTGTGCCCCGTGCTTGATGATTAGTAGTGAGTGCTTCAATTTAAGTTTTCAATACCTATACCACTCGTATTCCCTTTACTTTGCTACCGTCGTTTGGCTTCAGTATAAAGCAGAAGTAATCCATTAAAGCTTTTATTCGAATCCTTTATGCCTCGGATACTATGGATGATGCGAGTTATAAGATTAAATTGGTCATAAGTTGAACCCATTAAAAGAATATTAATTTTTGGGTATCTATTTCAATTTGCCCGTTCGATTCTATCACTTAGTTCTTACTGATTAGAATAATGTCATAGTGATTCACAATTTTTTCCAATGAGCAATGACTTAACAAACAATAAAGCACCAATATGTCCATGGATCACGCAGTTATTTGTTTGTGGAGGTCATTCTGGTCATATCAGAAGATTACTTGAACAAGCCAAGTCATGATGCCCAATTGTCACGGACACACTGCAGCCCTGGGTACAGAGCTTGCAGGTTTGAGCTATAAGACGGAGCGGCGGACTACAGACCTCTGTAGTCCGCCGCTCGACCGCGCTGCTGCTCATCGATCCATGGAGGCTCAACAGTGCGTGTCCTTGTTCCCTTACATCACTTTGTTGGTGACTTCATGGCCTTTGATATATACGAGGATGCATAAAAATGAAAACCTTAATGTGTCTTTTTAAAAATCTGTTCCCCCTGTCCATGAAAGTTTCAAATGGTAATAGACGGTCAAAAATACTGACCGCATATGTTGAAAACTGTAGATTGTTAACCATGATGTTGATCGTGTCTACTCAGATTATGAGCTCAATCGTACAGATTCTGTTGTCATGATGCTTGACAGGTTCTTAGTTATATACTAAAAACTGAACTTGTTTTTATGCCGCGGCTGTTGAGAGCAATGCATGCATTCATGTCGTAGCACTAGAGAATGAATGACGCGTTTTTGATTTATTGTAGAGTTTCTAAGATTATTTTAGTGTCATGAGCTAGTTTGAATCGCAGAAGAAATACAAAGTGTCAAATTTTTTTAATGTAACACGCCGTCGATGTGATTTTCTTGAATTCCAGTTATCTTAGAAGAGACGCAGCTCTTCGGTGCCCCGGCGCTGATTTTGCCTATTTAAAATGCCAGGACCGCAAATATTTCGGCAGAACATCGGTAGTTTTTTTTAGAAAGACTTGAACTTCGTCCAGTGATTACGAAAAAATGCCTTTGCGTAGCTATCTCATTTTTTCTTATGTTGTCGTTCTTGAGCGAAGCGGTTTGAATTTCTTTCGGGCATTGCTAAAATGTTTGATGAACTAAATGCCGCTCTGTTCCGCTCGTATGAACTGCAGATGGGCGAAAATTTTTAAATAATTTTTTTTATCACTTATTGGGGCTTCGTGAAATACCCTAGTACTAGGGTATTTTTTTTTAACTTCATTTATAGTGTTTTTGCATTACTGATAATAATTTTTCTTCTGGCAGGATTAACGAGAAGCCGCGGTGGGAAGAGACCGGCGCTGCCTTCGGGAGGTCGTCGTCTGAAACAACACAGCCAGTGAAACGCAAAATGGGGTGGTGGCTGGAAAAATTCGACTCGTTCCTGAACCGATCTTTCTACAAATTAGGTGCCAACATCGCTACTAACACTGGCTACTACATTATCATCCCCATCCTGCTGACTGCTATCTGTGCCACAGGCTTCCAGAGAATCCAGTACGAGGATGACCCGGAGTATCTTTTCGCTCCGACCAATGGCCGCGCCAAGCAAGAACGTGCCGTCGTCGAGGAATTTTTTAAGGTCAACTTTACATGGGACTTTCATCCAGCTCGCGTGACCAGGAACGGACGTTTCGCTCGCTTCATTATGGTGGCTAAGGACAACGGATCTTTATTGAGAGAGGAAGTCTGGAATGACATATCGACTGTCGATCAAATGGTTCACAACGTCACGATTGCCGAAGAAGGCCGAAAGTTTCAGTATAAAGATCTCTGCGCCATTTGGGGCGAGGAGTGTTTCGAAAACCAGGTTCTTGACATCGGGGAACTTATCCCCGAAATAAACAACAACACCTTCAACTTGACCTATCCGTTCATGTTGAACCCAAGGACCTTCGAATCGTACGTTTTTCCGTTCCACTTCGGTGGCATCGAGACGTCGAACTCGAGCACGATTGTGTCCGTGAAGGCCATCACTCTCTATTACTGGATCAGGACGCAAGATTCTCGACAGGACAGGATGTGAGTATCCTTCAAAATCGTTGAAATGTCGAGGATCGTGGATCGAAAGTAAATCTATCATGACGGGAATACGCTGCCTCACCGGCACGTGCATCTTTTCTTCACTCCAACTTTGCTCTTGCTGTGTCTTTTTAAACATTAACCGATATTCTAAAAATATCTGTTTACAAGGAGACTTTTATCGTCCCAGCATTAATATTACAATACCTTTGAACGGTACATGGACTAGTTTTTGGAATAAGCCGTTATTAACCTACAATTGAAATGGCACAAAAGTTGATAGTCTGAAAATATAGGAAACAAGAGCACGTTCTTCAAAATTCTATTGAATTGTATATAACTGATTTTTTGCTAGTCTTTGCAGCTTATGTATGCAAACACCGTATCAGAAAACTGCAGGACATGTAGCAGTGTAACGAATTAGGCGCGGCGTAAATTTTTATTTGTACTTGTATATTAGAAATGTTTTCTTGTTATATATATTGTGAATGTCAACCTTTCGAACTGATAACATTATTTTTCTTCTCGTCGCAGGGGTTCACTTTGGGAGAAGCAGCTGTTGGCTGATTTCAAGGACTTGGACATGGATAACGTTATAGTTACGTTCTTTACGTCCCGCACGCTGGAAACCGAGCTGGAGAACAACACCCATTCTGTGATACCTTACTTCGGCCTCACCGTGGCCATCATACTCGTCTTTTGCCTCCTCACAGTCATGATGGGCGACTGCGTCAGAAGCAAGACTTTGCTTGGGCTCGCTGGCATCCTTTGCGCTGGACTCTCGTGCGCTGCGGCTTTCGGACTTCTCATATATATCGGCGTGCCCTTCATCGGCATCAACATGGCGGCGCCTTTCCTCATGTTGGGTGAGTATCCTTTGATAATTATTAAACGACTTATTTATTTTTGCAACAGATGTTACTGATGATTTATATCGGTCGATACCAGGGATCTGACATGGAAATCACGATGAATAAACGTTGTTAAAACTAAATACTTCGAATCAATCTTGTTTCAAAGTTGTCTCCTTACGAGAAAAAAATCTGCCCTATGAAAGATGTCTTTTTATCAGCTAACGCCCAAATTAGGAGTGGATGAATAAATTCCATAAGTTTTTGTGAAAGTGTTACTAGATTTGTTATAGCGATCACGGTTTCACTAGTTAAGTGGCAATTTAAGTCAGTTGAAATGAAGGCTGGTTATCCTACCGAAATCGTTCTGGATATACATTATTGTGCTTACGTTTTATTTATCTATTTTTTACAGCAGCAATTCAAACTCCATACAATATTGTATTTGTGCGGAGATACAAGCAAGGACTTCACAATGTCACGTCGATATTTTCTGCGTTAATGATCACTTCTTCGCGCAGACATCGATCTAACGCCGTCATCATCTTTGGTCATGATTGACAAATCTTAAGCTTTGTTTGCGTGAGTGACGTGGCACGTTTTTCTCAAGGTGGAACCGGGGGTTAGGCCTGTTGTGTAACCTTAACCGTGCCTCCTCCTGGAGCTCTTGCGGTCTCGTAATCAATCGAATCTGCTAGTGCCTGGCTTTCCGGTTTATTTCGGTTAAAATGGTGTTGGTACGTATGCGTCAATGATGTGTTTAAATTCAAGTTATTAGTTTCCAGAATCAGCGTGTATATTACTAATCGGTAGTGAAATGGCTATTAAATGCGTCTTGAAAGGAAAAGACCTGAGTTCGCCTCGGATTTCTTAGTAGGAAATTCGTTCTATTATAAACAGAAGACCAACAATGTCAAAAGCTTCCAACGGCAAGTTGTTGGAATAACTTTCATATTGATCGAGATCTGTAATTCTGACACAATTGTGGAGAGAATAATTTTCAACAGTCATCGATAATTGTATTTCTATGAAGCCACAGACTTTGCAATAGACACATGCATGCAAGAATAGAGTACGCTTAGCTTAGTCGATTTCTGCAGGGTTGAAAAAACAGCATGATGGCAATTATGTAAATGTCATGCCTACATGATAGTTAGTATTACCAGAGTTGTGTAGCTTGTCATAAGATATGACAGCTATGAGAATCCTAGTCACAATTTCCAATTGGCTGTTGACCTCTGGGACTCGTACCGGATACCAGCCCAAAACAGTAGGCTAACTTTGGCTATGTCAACTCGCTTTGGCTATGTCAACGCCCCTGCCGCCTCTAGCTATAATGTGCGTGTAACACAGGGCAGTAAATTGTTCCCTCATTGCAGCAGGATACGGAGCCACATACTTGGTTGATGTCCATCGGATTTAATGAAAGTGCTATATAGATAAACTGCAAGCTAACACGCGCTGTAGTGGCCGCTTGCAGTGCGGGAAAGCGCAGCGTTAGAATGTGATGCAATACGGAGACCATTATTTAAGCTTCCCGCCGTTACAAAAATTCCGGATTAAAAAGAGTCAGTTGCGTTGTGACGAAATTTCCTCTTGCTTTATTGAACTTCGGCTTATGTTGACCAATTTACCACCTTATGTCCACGATATACTTATTTTACTTACCGATTTTGTTAGTTCAGGAAGAGCTAACTGTTGTCATTGTAAGGGCGATTGTAGTTGAAACCCAACACGTTCAAATTTCAGATATTAATACAACAAAGCAGTTGCATAAAGCTTCCCACTGTTCGAGAAACCGAGGGATCTCTGCTGGTCATTGAGAAGTAATTAATGAGATTCAGACACGAACTCAGCGATCTCGCATTATTCAACAGCGAAGTTACTACTTTCATGTATCTGCTTCTCTTTTAGCATTGTAGCATTGCATTCATCTTTTCCATTTGATATTCTATTTTGGTTCCTCTATTTGTCACAGGTGCTCAAGAAGTGACTAACCTTGACTAACGATTTTTAAAATCCAAAAACCAAATCCTTTGCTTTTGTATGAAAATGCGCTACTTTACATTCACATTTATCTTGACCCCTCGACAAAACAAAATGACCGAACTAATGTTAGCAGTTCGGTCACTTTGTTTCACATAAATCCAATTTCATTTGATTTATGTGAAAAAAAAAATTTACTTGCGTGACGTTGGAACCCACACAGTTCCTGCTACCCAATTATTTCACAAAACTGGGAACGAAAGTCGCACGCAGTATGCGACAGGTAACGCAAATCAGCGACGGGTAACGCAAAGCAGCGACGGGTAACGCAAAGCAGCGACGGGTAACGCAAAGCAGCTGTGATACCTGTCCTATGCGACAGGTAACGCAAAGCGTTCCCGTCTGACCGCGCCGTCTTGTACAGAGGCGACCAAGTTTTTCTGGCGCTAGCGAGCTGAAGTCACGTGCTCCTGCTTACTCAGAACGCTACAGATTAACATCCCAAATTAAAAAGTTTCAGCTGACTTTTGAGGGAAATTCCTGTTGCACGTTGTAGATAGAATGACTGCAGCCGTTGCACTAGAATGGACAGAAGTCTGATTATTTAGATATTAATAGTAGTCCCACCTTGGTTTCGTGAACTTGAATACATGACCCGCTCTAATTCTAACCTATAGAAATTGCGGCTAATGGGCTTCTTCAGTTGCCAAAAAACTTGATTTGACCCCATCTTTAATTAACATATTAGCATGGTGTATCATACCTTATTGTGGGTCGAAAAAATCAGCCAAGACTACTTTAATTTGGTCATTAATTAATGAATTTAAGCATTCGCAAAGACTAAGATTTTGCGTGAATTTTAAACAGATTTATAATGTGGTTCTAGGATTCACAGATTTTGCTTCGAAACCGTATTATTATGACTGCCCACGTAACCTCGTCTGTCGGTGACGTAAATACTCAACTGTACCTCCTGCGAATGTTCGATCGCCGTCAGTGCAGCGCCCTCCCGCTCACGGAATGATGACTCGCAGACTTCTGTGTTGACGGATCTAAAGACGGGGTTTTCCATTAGTAATGTACATACTAAATATTTTTTGAATCTTGTGTAAATATTTTTTTTGCCTGGGGGAATCTCCTAATTTTTTACTCCAGTGAAAGGACATCATAATGGCGGTCTTTTGATGAGTGATGACGTAATTGTTATCTTTTACCACGAACTTGTCAAGCTACCCAAATGAGATTACATTTGGTTGCAGCAGGATGATGATGATGAATCTGCTGCACCGTTGAGGTTGGCTCGTTAGATCTTCAAAATTACGCTATTGTGAGATCTTTATAGCGGCATGCAGCAATTCGGCAGTAACGACTACAATGCCGACGGCAAGTTGTGCCGACGCGACTCTTGGACGTAATTTCCCCGCCGATCGTTTCGTTCAAGCTATTAGTCATGCTGCGCATGCCTCCGGCTACTGGAATTTCGACCATTCAACTTCCACGCTCAAAATATCCTCCGCATCCATCCTGCGCAGATGCTCGCAGACTTCTTAGTTACGCTTGCATGCTCCTTTATTTAACGTTTTTATCGCGGTTCCTCTTTCCTGGATTGCTTCCTTAGTAGTAAAATACCAGCATCAGGATTCGTAGAACTGGTGGCTCGTACATCTTCTGGAAGCGCGCATCATTTGTCTGTCAGGAATGCCACAGTTAGGTACTTCTTTGAAATAAAGCTGAAGGCACAATGCTTTTTCACTAACGTCGTTCGACTGCCTAGCTAACGTTTTGAACTATTTTCTTTATTTTAGATTAGGATTGGACTTGTCTTCATCCGAATTTTAATTTTGTCTACCACAGACTCTTTCATTGATGGCTCCTTCTACTCTCTTGACTTAGCCGACGACATGTCACTGACCGCTTGATGAGGAAGAAGGTTTAACTGTGATAACACATATTGCATATGACAACTTTTGCACGCTGAGTTGAGTCAACCGTTTCCGTGCACTGCCATTTGAAAGCAAAAATGTTGATAAGAAAGTCGGTCGTGGTCAAGGAAACTTTTTTCCTGTACCATATCTTCTAGAGGAACTATTAAAATGATTTATTTGGCTTATAATAAGAGTTTTCCTCCGTCTGTTTTTTGCTTGCTACTGAGCCTTAATAGGAGCCTATTCGCGGTCAAATTACAAGTACATTTTTTTTTTACTTTATTTCACAGTAAACCTCACATTTGCGTTGTGCTGCATCTGGCGCATCAAGGTACTTGATAAATTTGAATTATTCGTGTGTAGATTTAACTTCTAAATACTTGGCACATTTTTTTGTGAAAATCGTTGATCTTTTTGAAACAAAACACAGTTCTTTCAAGTTTTATGAATTGATTTTTTTTAAACATCTATGTGTTCGTCTAACTGTTTATCATAGATCAATTTTCTAGAACCTATTAATTTAGGTAGATATTAGTCAGTTAGTTTACTGTTGATGTTGCTTGATGCATGCAAAGCATCGCTATACCTCTTGGTATCTCCACCTCTTAGTATCGGCTGTATCGCTACTTATCGAAAAATGTCCTCCGCGTATTCAGATCGAGGTCTTGTATATTGGTGCACTATAGCTCAGGTAGCGAGGATATGGTCTTGAAAAAATATAATGCACATATCCATGAAGTTACATTTATTTGTAATAAGGGTTGTAGTTCAATTCAGTACATGCAAGAAGCCTGGATTTTACCAAATATTTATTTACCCATCAGCGTGGTACTCGTACTTTCTGACTGAAAAATGAGGTTATGAAAAAAATGTATGAATTTTTCATGATCCTTATTTATCGTATGTGATTTGTACTCTAGCGACGTGCAGAACCTCAATTTTCATGCAACTGCAGATGACCCTCGTAGTATAATATGAAGTCTTGGCACTCGCTTACCAAAATGATGTTAAGTGGTTCTTACGGAAATCTTTGAAGCCTACACGAACTTGAACTTCAATACTCTAGAACTCTGAGGAGAAACTGTTTGAAGCCTACACGTAAGA